AGATGCATCATATAAAGGTACAATTCCCAATGAGAAATGTAATTGTGTTGTATACCTACAATGTACCAATAAAAGAATTTAATACAAAAAAAAAAGAAAACAAAATTTGCATTTTGTTATGATTTATTCGTGTCCTTCAAATATAAATCTGATATATTCATCTCATGGATTAAGAAATCATGAACACAAAAACCTACTGCACAAATGAAGGACCAAAGATGATTTATAATTTATAAAAAGACCCTTCACTTTAGAAAAATGATTCACAGCCAGTAAATCTAGTGTTCTTAAAATGAGGAGACTTCAAATATTTAGTAATAGCCATTTTTTTCCAACTTACGTATTTTAGAAATGGCTATACACACACTAAATAATATGGTTCCTGTTGTACAGCACCAAAAAGTACCTGTTAATTCCTTTTCCACACAGTGAACATCTCATCTATTTGAATTTATATCATCAATTTGACTGTCTTTAAGATTACTTGCTTAAGATAGGTGCTATTTGTTCAAATACAATCTCCTGGGGTAAGGCTTCCCTCATAGGGTGATTCTGAGTCAAGTCTCTCTACTACTTTTTTCAAATGGTTTTTTTTTTTTGGTACCAGGGATCAAACTCAGGACCTTGTGCTTGCGAGGCAGGCAGCGGCACCACTGAGCTAAATCCCTGGCCCTTCTGAATATATTCTATCACCCGATACCTATTTCCTTCCAAGCATGTTTAACTCCTATCTCTCCAAATCTGATTGTAAGTCAGTCAAAAGTCTGATGTACCATGGATGATAAAATGCCCAAAGAACTTGTAGTTTATCAAAGTACTAATTTCTTTTCTAGTACTGTTTTAAAGTATAGGCTGTCCACAAGATGGCTAACAGTCAGTATTACCAATTCTGAAGAGCCAGCTTAGATAGTCAATATGAGGACATAAAGGCCAGCTAATAGTAATCACTACTCTTATGCCAAAAATGTTTGCAAAGAGATTATGTCCTTCCTAGTAAACTTTAAGGATATTACTATCCAGCAATCATTATTCACTGAAAACTATCTCTTTTTTTGGTACCGGGGATCAAACTCGGGGCCTTGCACTTACAAGGCAAGCAACGGAACCACTGAGCTAAATCCCTGGCTGCAAACTATCTTTTAATGAATCGTACATTTACTTATTCAATTCATAATTGGGCTGTTGGTTATCACTGAAAGCTCTAAAAGGTTTACCATCACTGTACTATATGAATTAACACAATAGATTCTGATGTCAACAGAAGTTATAAATAATAAATATTATATTTTTGAGCCATCATGTGCAAAGTACTGTACCTATTAAAGATGACCAAAAATAAAATCTACTGAACATCTGTCTCCTTGTGTATGGCATTTACTACTTTAGATTTTACAAATAATTCAAAATAAAGTCATTGAACTTTAACCTCATCTTAAAAGTCCATCTTTGGTTGAAAAAAAAGTCTCCAGAACAGTCAGCAAAAAGACTGCTGGGTCATTTAACACATAGCTGAATATGATTCATACTGTCCTGTGTGGATCACCATTATCCATGGACACTAAAGACATTAAAGCAAGGCACAGAGGACTTAAGAAAGACATAGTCAACAAAGGTTCAGGGGAAAGTGAGACCACCTGGGTCTAGGAAGACTTCATTAAGAAATAGGAGAGAGGAGAGAAAATAAGTTCTAGAGCAGTAATGGTGAACCTCTTAGAGCTTTCAATATATAAACAGCCCACTGTGGCATGTGAGCCATAGGTTCACCACCACTGCTGTAGAGAATGGAAAAAAATCACTATAAAAGAGATATGGTGGTGGTGAAGGGATTCAGAAATAGGCAACATGAGAAAGTATTATCAGTAAAGTAAGGACTTGGCAAGACACATCCATGGGAAAGTAAATAACTATCTGAGGTAAACTTGGAGAGCTCAATGTTAGGAAAGAGTCAAGAAGACGGGAAAAGAAGGGTGGAATCAGAGGATCCTGAATAAGTCTATGAATTCTGAACTACATTCTGCAAGCAATGGGGAATAATTTTATATATTTCCATTTAATAGTCAACCAGTCAACAACAAGATATGTGATTGCTTAATGATTCTTGAAGCAGGTCATTCTTGAAATTTAAGTTTCTACAAGGCAATTTTGAACATAGTTAACATAATTTTGTACCTAATGATTTTTTTTCTTTAAAATTTTTATTTCTTTAACTGATATATAGAAACATAAAAATTATAGATATTAGTAGTGTGCCAGGTGATGTATACATAAAATGCTTAAATCAAGTTAAATGTATCGCCTCAAATATTCCTCATCTCTTCATACTGAAGACATTCAAAATTCAATCTTCTAGCTTTTTGAGATAGATAGTATACACCTGTTATCTACTGTACCTAATGGCTGTTCTTAATTTGTTTAACTCCTCTTCTGAAATCAAGTCTATTTTATTGATGAGGATGATGTCTGCTAAAGCAACTTGCCTAAAATAGCAAACAAAACAGATGTTAAAAGGGAAATGTTAAGAAATTTAAAAAAGAAACAATTCATTCAAATAAAAATATCAGTTAAGAACTACTTACAGTTCTATAGTAGTGATTCAGTTCCAGTGGACCATTGACTTACGAACTCAATTTATTCACAAGGGCTGGTTGTAACTCAACCTGGTAAATTGAAGGCTCAGGCTCCTCTATACAGCCTTCAAAGTCTCTCTCCTATATACAGGCAGATCTCAGTGTCCTTAGAGAGACACTGGCCCAGGATTTCTCAATTAACCCACATAGGAAAGGATGTTGTAATGTTCCTTCCAGAACTCTTTTTTTTTTTCCTTCCAGAACTCTTTTTTTTTTTTTCCTTCCAGAACTCTTTAAGGGTTAAATCTGTATCTGAGACCATTTGGAAGCACAAGTGGCCAGCATTTGGGTTGTAACTCAAGACTTTGGTCATAAGTTAAAATTAAAATTCCAGTCATAACCCAAGTTGTTCTTATTCAGGCTGGGCATAACTCGAGGGTCCACTGTATTCCTAATCTACTTATTCTTAAGAGAGTACAACTAAATTGTATTCATCACTATATAAATTCAAATTTCACATTACAGTAAAAAAGTATTTGGCTGTAATCCCAGTACTTGGGAGGCTGAGGCAGGAGGATCACTGTGAGTTCAAGGTCATCCTGGACTATACATAGTGAGTTCAAGGCTAGCCTGAACTACATAGTGAGACCCTGTCTCAAAAAAAAAAAGAAAAAAAAAGGATTAAGTACTCTTACTTGACATTCTAGAGTATAGAGTTTATAAGAAGTTTACAATTAAAAGGATGGTTTTAAAAAATAAAAAAATTAAAAAATAAATAAAAGGATGGTTTTTAACTCATTCTAAAGAAAATTTTAAAATTCATATATTCAACATAATAGGAATAGTCTATTTACTAAACTATTTCTTGTAATATGTACCAAAATTTTCAAAGAATTAAAGAGAACAAGTTCACTAACATGAAATACTAATTGAACAGTTTTGTTTAAAAAAACTACACAGAAGATGTATCAGGATCTTGGACAAATACCTTCTTCATCACTATAAATATGCATTATCTCTGTAGAATATACAGAAATCCCAGTTAAAGAATTCACTTGACACGATGCTAGATAACAAAATAGATTATTTTAATTAAAGTTCATTTTCCATTAACAGGAATAAGTAGTACAACTAAGAAATCTTTCAATTTTTCTCAATTCTTCAGGAAATTTTAAACACTAGACTATTTGTTTCTAATCCCAGTCTTATGCTATATATCAAAGAACACAAATTTTCAAAACAAAAGTAATTCATTGAAAAAAGCAAATTTCAACAAAACATATGCTTCAAAATCTCATTTCTGTTTAAGTAAATTTTATATGAATAAAGATAGGATGTAAATATTTCCAAATATAACCAGTTGCAATCTTTAAATTATTTTCTATGTTTTTCTATGTTTATTTCTATGGACTTCATTGTTTAATTCTTTTGGCTTTTATAATATTTTGTTATTTTCCCTTTGGCTCATGTATATTTTCTATAATAAACATTTTCTTAAGGAAAAAAAGTTACAATAATATTTAAATTCATTCTAATTTGAATCATAATCATATGCCAAGTGCAGTGTTTAGGTAGGTTTACAAAACAACAGGATATTATACTCCAAAGTCATATACAACCAATTGCTTGCTGTCTTTATTGTCTAAATCATTTATACTAAATCCCAGGGGACCTCACTCTTAAACCGAGCAGCACAGTGCCTGTCATCTATCTCAAACCCTTTATTCTATTACCAAGAATATTTAGAGATTTATAAACCTAAAGATTACATCAATTAGAAACATAAAGGCATTTAAATTTTAAAACACTTTAAGTGCCAAAATAAAATATTTCCATATTTGTTATTCTATTTTGAATAGCAGAAAACACTGAGGCAGTTTTTAAGGCAGTAAATGAAAGGCCGGGATGTAGCTCAGTGGCATTGGGCCTGCCTGGCAAGCACAAGGTCCTGAGTTTGATCCCTGGCACTGGAAAGAAAATTTTAAAAATCAGCCTTAAGGCAGTGAGAAAACTATTTTTTATAAAAATACTTAATCCCCTCAAAACTGTATGAGAATAAGAAAATATTTTAAGTGTTAATATTTCTCAAGTTCCTCACAATCAAAGAACTTCTGTGCTCAGCATTCACTTTACAAAGCAATCTAAATGGTTTTAAATAAAATGATTGGTTATCAGACCATTATGAACAGATGCCAATAATTCATGGGAAAAAATAAATTTACTTAACTATGCTTTTATGTTTCTCAGTTTGTTCTGTGGTTTCATATTAATGATTTCTCTTTCTAATTAGCCAACAATCAATACAAACTTTAAATATGAATACCTAGTAGCTTCATTGGTAAGGCCATCAGGTTTCTCTTCTGCTAAATGCTAAACAAAAACAAAGTTTGAAAAAAGTTACCATGACAGTACAAAATCTATGTGACAAAAAGGATTTTAGTTTAGAGTCATTTTCTTACCTCTAATAAAGACTTTAACAAATTCCTTTAGTAAATATATAAATTCAGAACCACCTTTTCTGTTTATTTTCTTGAAAATTTTTTACTTGTTGACAGCTAATACTTATAAATCTTTATGGGACATAGTGTGATGTTTCAGTACATTTATACATTGTGTAGTAACTCAGGATAGGTCATCCATCATCTCAAACATTTGTCATTTCTTGATGATGAACAAACACACTCAATATCCTCTCTTCTAGCTTTGAATTATAACAAATAATATTGAATATAATCACCCTTCTGCAATAGAACATAAGAACTTTTTCCCACCTAGCTGTGACTTTGTATTCATCAATTAATCTCTCCCTCTTCCTCTCACCAGCCTCTTATAACCATTATTCTGCTCTTTATGTCTATATACTCAGCTTTTCTCGATGGCACATGTGAGTGAAATTATGCAGTACCATACTTATCTTTTTGTGCCTAGCTTATCAGACTGATTTTTCTATTCTAAAGCATTTTTCTTCCCCATCTGCATTTTTTAGACAACGAACCCATAGGAGGTTAGAATTCTGTACTCCTCCCCTTTTCCTTTTTCTTAAATCCCTCAGATTTAAGTAATACAAAAATACAGAAAATTATTGTTCAGATGTTAGGCATTTTCCTTTCTATAAAACCATTCTTGGCCTAAATATTCATTGTTACTTATAAAAAGGGGGCTAACCACTGTAATTATACTTTCTTAAAAATCTAGTATACTTCTCTTCCATTCCTACCCCCATGTTCCACTCCTCAACCCCCAAATCCAACACAATATGAACTCATTATTTGGCCCTTCAAATTTCCCTTGAAACAAGAGAATTAGGAAAAACACAGCCCTAATTCTGACATAAAAGCAGTTTATTATTTGAAAACATATTCAGAATGACCTGACCTCTGAGAGTAACCACTTATTTTACTACTCACGCTAGAGCAATGATAGACCAAGTGCCCAAACTGCAACCCAAAACCCACTTATTTATGACGAAGTGCCAACAGTGAAATTAAACCTGAATACTGAGGATTTAGTTTAGAAAAAACAACTCATGCACTTAGCTCGTGTGCTGACAGAGAGGGCTCTGCATGCCCACTACGGCATGGATATCATAAGTTCACCACCACTGCTCTAGTCAGGTTAGCTCCAAAAAAAATATTTTGACATCAACTTAGAAGCACATGAAGTGGCAGTCATCCCTCTGAAAGCAGGATTTTTCTTCCTCCCACAATCTTATTTATATCCTAAAGTCATCAGTGCCTTAAGGTTCTCCTCTGGAAAATCATGTTTTCACTTCACAATCCTTATCACGATAAAAAGCTGGCTACTGAAGGTTAGAGGCAACTAGATTATAGTAGTAATCATTATATTTGAACTTTATAAATTATATATTGTCTCATTTAGACTTCATAACAATTATGGGAAGTGACTATTCTTACTTTATAAAGGAAAAAACATCCTTAGCATCACAGGATACCAGATACCATATTTTTATATACCATCAGAGGTATATTTTTCACTGGCAATATATTCAATAGAAGTAAAATGAACATAATTTTAAAATCTTTGTCTTTTCATATCATACAAAATCAGCCTTGTACACAGTGCTACCAGAGTGTTAACAATTGCCTAAGTGAATATATCTATAAAGATTATCTAAAATTAAATTTAAGATGATTTTACCAAGCCAGTTTCACAATTTATTGCAAGGTGATCACAAAGATACTTGGGTAATTTGAAACCTAAACAAGTTGGTAGTGAGTTCATTTAATAACCTCAGTTAAGACTCTGAACAAAAAAAAGTTTTTTAACTTTATCAAATAATATTTGAGGGACACAAAACTAAAATTGGCAATGATATACTCATTATCACTTTACGTGTGAAATAACAAATCCTATTATTATATACTCTGTCTTCTAGAGAATGAGGCTATTACCAGAAGTCAGAATACTGTCTGGAACACAAGTCCAAGAAATATTCCTTGAATGCACTGTTGCAAACACCCTCCCATTTGTTGACATAGATAATACCAATGTTATTTGCCACAAATCCCTCTCCACTGTGCAGTAAATTTAGTTAAAAAGGATACCCTATTAGCAAGGCATTTCTCTGGATGATCCTGTAATATTGAAAATTCTTTCAAAAATATGGAATACTTTTCAAGATACTGTATTATTAACCTTCTGGAACTTCTTTACATATAAATTTGGGTTATCTGGCTGTAAGTGGATGAGACATAAAAGGTATGACACAAAAATTAAAAGGCTTTTTTTTTTTTTTTTTGTACCAGGGATCGATCTCGGGACCTTGCGCTTGGCAAGGCAGGAGGCGGAACCACTGAGCTAAATCCCCAGCAAAAGGCTTTTAAATTTCCATCTGAAACTAATAAAATGGTAGTTTAACAAAGTTACAATGTTTTGAATCCATTCACTTCTTCAAAATATTAGAAATCTCTACTCAAGGCTATCTGTGGGGGGGCTTAGATTTATTATCTCCAGCCAGGAAGTATTAAATATAAAAATAGGCTAAAGCCTTCTAAAACAAAAGCCTACCAATATGCACAACTCTATTAAGAATATGTAATAATCATATATAATTATAGCATAAGAGATAAATACCCTATTCTATACACATATGAAAGCTATACAAACAAAAAATACATACTATTTTTTCTTCAGGATGTCAGCCCAATATTTCCCTCATGAAATTTTCTTCCACGAGTCAATCTTTGCAAAAAAAAAAAAACCCTAAAACTTCTCTGCAATTCCATTTATAAAACAAAAACAAATGTAAATTTTGATATTCTATTCTACTATATAGGCATATGAAAAAAATTCCAAAGTGATTTTTCCAAAATGTTCAAAAGATTCCACATCTCTGCTGAGAGACTGCAGCTTTTGCTTATATATCAAAAAAGACAAGAATAATTTAGGCACTAATTAACCCCAACATATACAAAAAATGTAAAAGCTCAAACTCCTAATGAAGCCTACAAGAAACGAAGGGGAATGGGGGGGGAAGTATGAGACACAGTTTAAAAGGCACAGTTTCAATTATGCAGGATAAATTAAGGAGAGCTAATTACAGCATGGTGACAACAGTTAAGACTATTGCCTTGAATACTTGAAATTTGCTGAATTTAGATCTTAAATGTTCTTATCCCAGATGGCGCTAAAAAAGGTAACTATGTCAGCTCATAGATGTGTTATCTTGTTTCATGTTTTTCATAATATATGTATATCAAAACAGCAAGTTGTATACCTTAAATATATAAATTTTATGTCAGTTATACCTCAATAAAGCTAGTGGGGGGAAATGAAATCTTCAGAATAATACTATTATAGACAAAATGTTAAGAAGGGCTACAGAGTGTCCTTTTCTGTAGAAATAAAGAAGCTGGACCAAAACAATAAAGAAAAAGCTATCTTAAAAGTTACTAGCAAAGAAGGAACGCTGTTGCTGACCAAAGTGGAAATAAATCTAGTGTCACATACATTGTCATTTAAAAACAAAAAAAAAGAAGCAGCTATTGCTTTTAAAGGAATTGGTTATAGATCTAACATTATTTCAGCTTTTTAAAATATTCCATAATGTCAGTATTTATTTTTCTGGCCTTTTCCAACCCAAACTGTTTTCTGACTTAACTGTCTGAACACCTCGTACGATATAACAGAAGAACCAAAAGGAAACCTCTCACTTGACCTTTTCTGTGTAACTTCATTCATTGATTCCATGGCATTAAATGCTGTCACATTTGTAGAACTGAAAAGAACAATGTCAGTAGGCTAGGTGTCAAGTCTTGGAAATAAAGAGCTGTCATTTTAAGTTGTCCAATTCTTTGCCTATGATTAAAAAATGAATATTTCAGATCAATGGGTGACAATCCCATTAGAGTGATAGCCCATGATATCAATTACCACTTCAGTTTCAATTTGGCTGGCCGGCCACAGGGTACCATTTCTCAGCTTTACTTGTGATGGGCTGGCTCTGTGAAGCATGACACCCTTAAATTGCTGCCCATTATCCAAGTGTCATTACTTGTACTGCCTCAGAATTCTCTGAATCACAAGCAGCTACTGAGGTCAAGCTTTGCAACCAGAGGAATTGGACAAGTTGGCAAATTCTTTATATAAAGGTAGTTATTTATCTGGCACCCAACTTAGAAAATCTAAAGTTTCCATTATCCTGACAGTATGTCAGTTTTGTGTAGGTATATTGATTTAATAATTTAAGAGGTTTTATCAAGGTGGCAGGAGGTTAAACGTATACTGTGCTTGCATTATTCAGAATGTTGCTTTGTTTTTTTGGCCTGTATCATGCTGATAATAGATTCTATTTAACTCCTCTCTACACTCAGCTATACATACAAAAGTATTCCTATAATCATAAAATAACATACAAAATTTGACTTTGAGTATGTGATACATCTACCAAAAAAAAAATGAAATGCCCTCACTGCTATCCCATAAGTATCCCAAACTGGAGAATACATTTATACAGGATATGAATTTAAACATGTCTATAGTAAGGACTTAAAATGATGAATTATACGGATGTTTTTCTCTATCTCCATTAACATTTTGCTAGAAATGATTTCAAAATAGCCAGTAGGTTTTTTCTGAGCAAAATTAATATTTGAGAGCACTCTTTGATTCCTTAAGACTATTCATAAATTTAAATTTTAAACTCTAAAAAAGGAATTATTTTCCAAACTTCTCCCATTAGTAATGCACTTTATTCTAAGGAGAAGTGAAGGGTTAGGAAATGGGTATTAGTAGCCATTAGATAACCCCAACGTATTTTCGAAGCTACAGCATAATTTTACTGAAGATTTGAAATAAAAACAAACTTTTAAAAATTAACAAGTTCAGTTTGTAGAATATAAAACTGACATAAATTTCTAAACACTGAATTTAAACTTCCAAAAATTATTACTTCAGGCCATACCCATATAACCAGACTGAGGTGGAGTAGGGGCTGGGAGGAAAGGAAAATTTCATTCTCTGATGCCTTTAGCAATTTTTTTTTTTTTAGTACCAGGGATTGAACTCGGGTCCTTGTGCTTGTGCACCAGGTGGCAAAACCACTGAGCTAAATCCCCAGCCCCTCTTTACCAATATTTCACTTGGGAAGTTGAGAAACACTATTCTATTTTATGCAGCAATATTCTTTTCTTTTTTTTGGTACCAGGTATCGAACTTGGGACCTTGAGCTTGCAAGGCAGGCGGTAGAACCACTGATCTAAATCCCCGGCCCTGCAATAACATTCTTTTGAAGATCTTGCTACATGCATTTTATAAATTGAAGCCAATTAAATGCATCTGAAGCCCTTAGTAGTTAACAAAAACATTTACAGCAGGTTATCTCTTAACAAAGTTTCTCCTCACTAATCCTATGAGTAAATCATAATTTCTTCAAAGAGGTAAAGCAGTATTTAAAAAAAAATTGTCTCCTTGTGTTCAACCACATTTAGAAATAAAATCATATGTTTAAACAAGCTCAACATCTTCTACCAAACAGAAAAACTTATCAATACTGGGGTTGAATTCTAGTGAGCAGTTACACATACCCAAACTTTATCCTGACCCCATATATAAAGTATTATAATTCCAAATTTTATCACAACATGAAATCAGACTAATATAAAAAACAAATTATATGTATTATTCAGGAACTATTTTGAAAAAGATTTCTGTTAAAGATTTCAAACATATACAAACATATTCCTAGCTCTTTGCAAACAATTAGCAATTTATAATATTTCAACTTACTTTTAATCCATATTTTGAATCTACCACAGTTATGATACCTACAAAGGGATAAATATTTTAAGTATCCATTTTTAAAAAGGTATTTGTTAATATTGTGCAACTATGCTTGAGAAGGAAAATCAATCTCAGTTCACAGATCCTATTCAATCAAACAAAATTTTTTCATCTTATCAATGCTGCTATTTAATTCAATTCCAGGAATAAGTAAATGCATTTCAAATATGTACTGAGTGCCTAGAACTGTAAAACATTAGAGAAGATATGACCTAAATACATTTTTAAGATTAACAAGAAAGTAAGATTTGGTGTTTAAAAGCTTACAATTCAAAATATGACAAATTTTAAAATATAAAGTAAAATGTGATAAATTAGATGACACAGGCTATTTTCAAATAAGCAAAATCAAGACTTTTCTTTTGTTTTTTGTGGGTTTTTTTGGTACTGGGGATCGAACTCGGGTCCTTGCACTTGCAAGGCAGGCTGCAGAACCACTGACCTAAATCCCCGGCCCCTATCAAGACTTTTCTTAACATTTAAATTATTATTTTAAAGAATCTTTAGGACAAATTTGGTTATAGCTAAAATGCTGAAATTTTACACTGATTTATAGAAACAAATTTGTACTGCATCAAGAGAGATGAATATTACAATGACATTAGGGTTATCTCTGAAATATGTACCAATTTGAATCAACAATATGAAAATGTTTTGTTTAAAGCAATATATTTTTATGTTGGATGTTTGAGAAAATATTTACAAAAATAAATACACTATGGAAAAAAGAATCTTAGGATACTTCATTCCTAACATCTCTTACCAAATCAAGCCACAAAAATTTTATAAATATCAAGTACCTAAGTTCCCTAACAATCAATTACAGGTAGTTCAGCAATCTCTGAATATATACTAAGTAATTTTTTCAAAATAAAACATCAGAATGATATGCCTATAGAATTTCAACCAACTACAAATCAGATATTTTATAGCCCAATGAAGCCGAGCTTCCATGGTTCCTCAATATTACACGGAAGTCTATAAAAACTGGTGTGAAGAAAAATAAGAGAGAAAAAGGGGGATGGATGGATGGAGGGAAGGAGTGTAACTGCTTAACTAATAAAGGTGTATCAAGTTGAATTTATAAATAAAATTAACAAGTGTGAAAGGGCTTGTGTTTGTGTGATTAAAGGTAAAAATGAAAGAAAGCAGAAATATGATCCTTATATTATCTGGCTAATTAAAATAAGAAGATCTAACATTATATTACGAGCATAAACAAACAACAGAAGGTATAGAAAGTCTACATAACATTTTTAAAGGAAAGTCTTAGTGGAAGTGCTAAAATACAAGTTGAGAGTAAAACTTGATAATCCAGTTCTGCCACTGTTTGGGGCTTTGGAGTCCATGTAAAAATTTACTTCATCATAAACAAAAAGAGTTTGAGAAGAACAATAATACAAGGAATTAAAATTATAATATAAACAAAATGAGCTTAATCATAAAAATTTCAACTAAAAATTGTTTTTAACTTACCATCAAGATAAATATCACTCCCCAGTTCAGCATCAACCCAAAATATAGAAGCCACAGCACCTGAAAATACATATTATGATAATATTCATAACATAAGAATATTTCTCCAAACTGCAAAACATGATTTTGTTTAATTTGTTTGATGGAATCAGCAGGTAAAAACACAAATCAAATCTGAGATTCCAATCTTCTTATGGGACTTACTGTAATAGGACCTTTTACTATTTATTTACAGTCACTTCTACCCTTTCTTCCTATTACCTCAAAAAGAGATCAACTCTTATCACACAAACAGCAAGTTTCTACAGATGCCAAAATGATTTACCAACAGATATTATTAAACAATTCGAACATTATGGCTATGTACATATTAGGACTTATTTTTATTTTCTCATCTCCTGAATATAATCATATGGTTCATACATAATGAAACATCCTCAAAGGAAAGTCAATAGAAGATAATTCTAAAATTGCGTGTACAAACAATAAGTAGTAAATAAGTTTATAATTTTTGTAGGAGAAAAGGAATAAGAAGTAAAGTTGTAAATTCTCTCACATTACTAATTAATTCTCACATTATTCATTTAGTACTGCCATAAAACCTAGGACTAAGGAAAAATTATTTCTAAGTAAGAAATTAAAACTTGTTTTTGACAGAAACTGGTTCAGTATCAAACCACATACCCTGATTAGTATGCCACAGCACAAGAAAAAGAAAACTGACAGCAAGGAAGGCATTTGATTTTTCAAAGCATCATAGGCCCAGTTAGTGACAGTGCTGTCTAAAAGAATGAGCATAGGGGAAAAACAAGGATAACTGAACTCATTCCACTGTCTAAAGCTGTCCACCTACCCTGATGAGATATGGTCCCCCAAGCATCACCCTGTGTCAACAATGAAATACCTGTCAGCTGTTTACAGTGATTACTCATGCAAGATATAGCAAGGGCCACAAGATCTAATAGTTTCCTGATACCTATTGATTTTTTCCCAAAAACTTAATAGTTTTCCAATTTGACTGAAATAGGATTTGTGAGTTACAGGGGCTGAATCAATGTCTGTCCTTCTCAAGGAAATTACTTTACCATGACAATTATTTAGGTTAGAACTGGAGAGTGTCAGTCTCCTAAACAGGAAACAACTGAATTGCCAGTAAGAATTTTCCTCACTTTCTCGGATAAAAACATGATTTTAATTAATAGGAGAGAAATGTATTACATCATTACTCCAAACGGGAAGTCAAAAAATATTAACTTTTTCATTCAGTAAAATACCTAAATTGTACATAAATCATATAATTCAAAAATTTGTTGATTTCTATACAGATAAATAGCTTTTAAGTCATACCATTAACATTTATTTATTATTAAGGTGAACTATAAGAGTGTATCAGAATTTTTATTCTAACTATGTTGGGACACTTTGCTAGAATATTTACCAAGCCACACAAGAAAGAATTATTTAAAATTTGGATGAGGGTGTTCTGCTGTAGTAATAAAGTGAATGAATTGGGTGATTTTTTTTTTTTCTGCCCAGGCAATATCTGGCAATGTCTGAAGATATTTTTGTCTGTCTCTAGAGAAATGCTACTGGCATCTTGTGGGTAGAAGCCAGGGAGGCTTTAAACATCCTACAATGTCCAAGACAGCTGCCCTATACATAACAGAAAATAATTACCCAAACCAAAATGTCATTTGTTTGAAGGCAGAGCTAGATTACAAATCTCTTTTCTTCAAAACCAAATAAAACAAAGCTGAGGCAGGAAGATTGCCATGAGTTCAAGGCCAGCCTGGGCTACATAGTGAGTTCAAGATCAGCCTAAGCTACATAGCAAGACTCTGCCTCAAAAAGAAAAAAAAATAATAATAATAATTAAAAATAAATAAATAAATAATAAAAAATTTTTAAAAGATTATATAACCTTGTACTATAAATTTTGAAGAGTGACAATTCAAATAAGGAACAAAGTTCTATGTAAGTTATGGTCATTCCTAAATCTATTTCTATCCTCAATAAAAGGTTGTAGGAAAATAGTCTATAAAATCCTAATACTTATCAGAAATACTTCAAAAATGCCAATAAGTGGAAATGAGGGAGTAAGTAATGTAAATAAAAATCAACAACATTAAAAAACTTCAAGAGCCTGGGGATTTAGCTCAGTGGTTCCGGCGCCTGCCGCGCAAGCGCAAGGTCCCGAGTTCGATCCCCGGTACCAAAAACAAACAAAACAACCCAAAAAACTTCGAGAATAAGTTTCTAATCATTTCCACATTTGAGAGAGAGAAAATTACTTTCTAGGGCAGAAAGTGACAGGAAACAAGAGGTCTGGGTGCGATGATGTCTTTACACAGGTTATATCGATGTATATTCCAGTAGTTGCAGTCCTAAGAGGGACATATAGAGTATTTTAAGAGAACAAAAGCTAATGGCCACATTGCTTCATCTGGCTTTTCAGAGCATCCATTTTTGCTTTGCTTCCTTCTCCCTACTCCCCAATAATATCCAGCTTTTAAACTGGGGCTTAAAAAAAAAAAATGAACAAGTAAGATGGGTGGATATTAGAAAGAATCCCTCATCAACACATCTAAATAAATAAAGTTCTCTGGGCTTGCCACATCAAGCATAAATGTATGCACATGTATTACAGCAGAAAAAGCAAACATACAAAGATAAAAGTTAGAACAGAAAAAATATTGAAAAATGAACAGGGCATAACATACGGCAAGGAACCCATTCTGGAAGGAAACATAAACCAAGAAACCAAAGACAATTCTTTTGAAGAAACCAAAGGACTTCTTCATAACAAAGAACTTAAAGGCAATGCAACCTTAATAAAAAAACAAGCTTGAGGGCTGGGGATTTAGCTCAGTGGTTCCGCGGCCTGCCTCAAAAGCACAAGGACCTGAGTTTGATGCCCAGTACCAAAAAAAAAAAAAAAAAAAAGCTTAAAGGAAAGAAAAATCACAATAGTATGAAAAGATAGAGCTAAAGAAATCTGGAGCCAATAAATTCAGTTAACAATTACTCAAATGAACTACTTACCTTCACTTAAAACAGTAAACCGAAAAAACACTGGGAGAAGCAGAATTACTGATTAAAAAAAAGACTTTAGATGATCACAGTAAATGGAGATGCAAAATATGAATCAAAAGTTACATAAGGAAATAAAATAAAATTCAGTATGAAAGAAGCACAGCACCCAATAATTTGATAGAAAAATTATTCATGGTAATAAGCAAGGAAAATGTCTTTATAAAAACTACGGGTACACTGTATTTCAAGAAAAATGTATCTTATGTATATTACTAACTTGAAAAATAAAGAAAAAAATTTCAGGCATTTAAGATACAAAAGCAAGTCACTTTCCAGGAGGAGAGAGGAATCCAAGTCCTACAGTAACATGGACTGTCCCAATATAATAAAATAGTGACCACAAAGTTCTAACGTAAGTATTCCCAAAGGATACCACCAAGTTATTTTTCAGGAATGCCAGACAGTCTCAAACATTACATTAAAAAAAAAGAGAAGTTCTGAAACTCAGAGATTACAGTGCTTACAAATTCTTTCTGATAAAAGGAGAAAACACTGGACAAGGAAATTCAGCCAATTAAAAAATAATAAAAAATTATGTAGCAATATTTGCAAAGTCCAAAGGGAAATTGTGATCCAGAAATTCTATATCTAATCAAATAATCCTTTAAATAGTAAAACAAAAGACATATATTCTCAAATACAGCATCAATAATTTGAAATTACCTGACTATAAAATTCAGTTAATCGGGACATGAATTGTTTTGTTTTATTCTGGTGCTATGGATGCAACCCAGGGGCTTGCACATACTAGGTAATCACTAAATCACTCAGCCTCAGGCAATGGATTAACTCAGGAATGGAGAAGACAAGGTACTGATGAGTATTAAACCATTTAAATACAAAACTACAAAACAACAAAAGTATGAAAGAATGTAAATGTTAAAACCTTGACAATGTAAAGAATACAATCCAACAAAAGTAGGAGGTGGGACAAAGTTAAAAGCATAATTTGCTCTTCTTTTATGAGATGGAGTCAATACTCATCTGAAAATTGAAAACTGTAGTTTAAAAATGTCTACTTTATGTTCTCTGTAATTTGTTTTTTCTCTTTAATTCATATCTTTTGTAGGAGAAAAGTACATTATCTGAAAGTCAGCAGTTTCTTCTCTTTTCAGTTTCTCTTTCTTCTGTTAGATTCAAGTAAAAGTAAATTAATAACTATTAAAAATATTCTGTATATTTAGACAGCTTTCAGAAGGGCATGGTTCAGGGCCTCCCAAATGAGTATTAGTAGAAGAATCACCCGGGAGGACTTACTAAAAAGATTTGCTGGGCTTCACCATCAGAGACACTGATTAAGTAGATATGGGTTGGTCTCAATAATGTGCTTCTTTTTTTTTTCCTTCAGTATAGGGACTGAACATAGGGCCTTCGCAATGAACTAAAACCCCATCCTTTTTTATTATTATTTTGAAACAGGGGCTCGCTGAGTTGTTAAGTTGCCTAGGCTGGGCCCAGTCATGTGATCCCCCTACCTCAGCCTCTCAGAGTGCTAGGAATACAAATGTGTTCTACCAAGCCCAGGTAATAACATGCATTTCTAACAAGCTCCCAGCTGAGATGGACACTGCCATTCAACATACCACATCATGGAGCACTAGCATAGAGAGATACCTGAGATGCAATGTACTAACTTGTATTTCATGGTAGTGACACAGGATATTTTAACTTTCCTCTTTTTTTTTTATTTTTGGTATTGTTTAAATTCTTTTATAATGAATGTTCCACCTTCATCCAAACAATAAAGTTATTATTCTACAAAAGGAAACAAGAAACATTAACCTATTTTTAACAGCCACAAATGTACAAAAGCTTTCTGAGATCTTTTTCTTCCTCTCAAAAGTAACAAGAGTTTTTCTGTACAAAGTGGCAGAGGCAGAGATGAATTCTGTTTCTGAAAGAAACTATTATTTACTATTTCAAAAAGAGGCATATATAGCTAGTTGTGGAAGCACATACCCATAATCTCGTAATCCCAGCACTTCGAGGCTGAGGCAAGAGGATCACAAGTTCAAGCTCAGCCTGGGCAACTGAGTGAGACCTTGTTTCAAAATGAAGGCTAAAAAGGGCTGGCAATGAAGAAATAAAACAAATTCTATTAATGCTTAAAAGTGCCAAGAAGTGCTCTGCTCATTCATCTGATACAACCCGGAATTTTCCTGTTTTGAACCAAAAAAATGTTTAAATCTAAAGTAAAGCTTTAATAGTCATTTTAAGAATGCTTCGCTTTCTGATACCATTGGGTCATAGGCCATGGCAACCATACCTACACCCCAATGCTGTCTTCCTTATTTTGTAAAAAGATAACCAGATGGCCAGGTACCACAGTGCATGTACACAATGCATAATCTTAAAACATAATTGTGCATCATGGGGTCATTTTGGGTCTGAGACCTAACAAATCATTATAAATGCATTACACACCGGGGTCTGTTTTTTCACTTAACTGTAACTGGAAAAGCATGCTATTTTGGATCCTCTTTGTTCCTCAGGACTGCTGATGTCTTCCTGCCTACCAGTAGGTACTCAATAATGTTAATTATTGATTAAAAAAAAATACTTGAAATATCTCTGATACATCTATTTAAAATGCCAAAGAACTATCTTCTGGTTATTAATAATGTCACTTCTTACCGGGATCTGCTAATCCAGTGGTCTCTAACAGTATGTAATCAAATTTCCCCTTCTTCTGCATCAAATTCTCAATAGCCCTAAGGCCACTGTCCCTAGAGAAGACCACAACATACCATAGTTGATTACTCAAATATTTTTAAATGATCATTATAAATACTTTAAAACATATTCAACAAAACAACATAAAAATATCTTTATGCATGTGAAAATTTAACTCTTAAGCACCTAACAAAATGTCTATCCAATATTAACCAATGAGGAAAAGGAAATAGACATATATACAGATAATTTAAAAGAAATTACGTATGTAATGAATTAACACTTTAACTTATTAAAATTAAGTGAGTCAGTATTTATTACTTTTACAGCTTTCTGAGAGAAAAAAATGAACATCCAAAATAATAAAATTTATTACTTCTAGTAGTTTAATAGCTAAAGGGACAGTATCATTAAATACCAGTTAGTTCTATCTTGAATTAGTATTCAATTCTATTTTGAATTATGGTATTATCTATTATTCTTATAATAACAAAAATGAAATATTGTATTACATTTTGGTTAAGAAAATTTGTTATGACTTCATCCCTCCTAATACATTTGATTCAAAGTCAAACATGTAAGGTAGTCCATGATGTAGAAAAAATTTAACTCACTAGAATACACAAGATCAATAATACACGTATTAATTTTCATAATTTATCCAACAAATATTTTAGTTGCTACTCTGTCAGGTACTCTTAGGATTTATGCCAGCTTAATAAACAAAATAGACATTTTCTAGAAAACTTAACTGATGGAACACACACAATTCATCTCATTTGGAAAGTCATTTGTTTTTAAATAGGTTTACTATTTGGAAATAAGACTGATGTATTAAATTTAGAATGTTTTACCTATGAAATGAGATTTTTATG